TACACTGAGTGTTCATGCTACTGCTACTTTACATGTCTTTACAAATACGGAATTCCATGAGTTGGGATCCAGGGCTGATTGCATGTTGTCAATTCTTTCAAAGCTTAAACTTGGTTACAAATATTGTTTATGGTTCAATTTTGACTTTTCAAAACAAAATTTTCCTGAAAGGTTCAGACAAGAGCTTACAGATGTTAAAAGCAAACCCCTCCATGCATATAACAAAGGCTGACAAATCCAGCACTGTTGTTATATTAGACAGGGAGTACTATATTTCCAAACTGAATGTTCTCCTCCAAGATTCTTCTACATACACCAAACTTAGGAAAAAATCCTCTTGATGACATCAAGTCCTTCAATAGCAGCTTGAAGTTTTTAAGAAATCATAATGATTATCTTAATAAATTTACTACTTATCCCAGGCAGGGTGAGACATGGGCAAGTCTCCTTATACCCATTTCCTCTGTTCACCTAGCATTGATTAGGAACCTGGGTGTTAGTCAACTGTTGTGGGTTGCATCCTGGGAATGGTCAAATGCTACATGTATCCAAGGTATACTTGAATTTCCCACAAACGCCGTAAGACACAGCACGGGGAAAATAGCCGGAAGGCTACACATGAAATATGCCGCAAGGCAAAGAAACAAGAACCTCAAGGCCACTGCAACGAGCGGACCGAAAGATCCCAGCATCCAAAAAAAGGGTTCGTGCCCAAAGTCAGAGTGGGTGAATGCCCAAACAAAGTAACTACTACCTAATCTCCATTTTCATATTTCTATGGCCTTATCAAGACTCATAAGCCTACTATCCCATGAGACCTATCATCAGTTCTGTGGAATCCATCTGTTTCTTGCACCAGAGTCGAGGTGTAATTAAGTGTGGTGCAAAGCATCAAGAGAACAGTCTAAGAGTCGAAGGAGAGGCAGAGAAGTAGGCAGGACAGCCATAATTTAGTTTTAGACAGCATGAGAGAGGAGTGTGTGCGTCTATCAGCTCCCCAGGAAGTATGGACTTGAGTAGGGTGCCTTGCAGCATTCAACTCAGAGGTGAGAGATATGGGGTGACAAAGACAAACAAGTGTCAAAGATTAACCCCAAAAGTTTAGCAGATCCCTTATTCAGAAGGGGATTAATAGTGACAAAGGAGGACAAAGAACAACCTGCTTCTGAGTAAAAGTTACACCCCAAGTCTTAGTTGTTGAAAACTTGAAATGACGATTGGTAGACCAAGACCCAAACTGGGGTGTCTCACCAATGCATCAGAAAGTAGCTAAGTGGGCTGCAACTACACGTACCAGTCTGGGTGTGGTTAAAAGTAACAAATATCAACAGTCAGCTAGGTGCTTATGTATGTGTAAGTAATCAGGTCATGTATCTCCATCATGACAAAATACTGTACTTAGGCCATGTAATGGCGCAAACTTCCATCATGGTCCGACTCTGGGGTGTAACAAACTAGCTGTTGTAGGAATGATCTAGAATGTTTTATCTACGCATGGGAGAATGGGATGCTAGATCCACGTGTGGTGACCCGAGCACATGGTCGCACCCCCTGGGGGGGAGTGGTGGTGAAAATAATTGGCGCCTTAGTTCACAGTTTCATATAATGAATTATTTTACAGAATTCACTAATTTAGAGAATTAGTCTTCATTCAAATTGTATAATATTCCTGGTATCAAGAGTATCCTGATTGATAGAAGAATGAGTTGTCACCATCAGTGACTTCACGAGCCGTGACTAGACCTCGGCGCGGAACAATTTAGGTGACCTCAGTGGTCACAGGTCATCAGCGTTTCCATGTCCACTATTTCTCAAAGGTCAAATAGCCATTTTGTAATTGGGAATAGCTCTCCCTTAAGATGCTTGTGTAATTAATTTCAGTTAAAATAATTCAACCAATGTGGGTCAGTCAGTGCAACAGAGATGAGTTGTTTAACTTAAGCCTTGCTAGCAACTTGGTAAACTAGGCGGAAGGATACAGATCTGGGCGTCTGGGTAGAGAAGCATGTGGGAAAGACAGTGTGGGATCCGGAGCAACACAGGGAAGGTGTCCACTCCACCTCTTCCCAAGACCTTAGCACTAACATCTAGCTGGTCGCCAAAAAGGTAGAGTTGCTGTAAGAGTGTTGTTATAGGGAATAGGTCAACTCATTGCTGAATCAGGTAGGAAGTGTTAAGCCAGGGAGTGTTTTGATTTTTAGATTTTGCTTAGTTTTTGAATAAACCATTTAGTTAGAAATTTGTCTTTTTATTAATTTCCATTTTTTGTAATCTATGTGAATTGTCCCAAACCACGTGGGTAGCTCAGAGGCCGAGTTGAATTGGGCACCGATTTTAACACCGAATCAGAATTCATTATTCCCTTTGACTGTTAATTAATTCCACACTTACGGATATCCAAGTCATATATTACTAGTGGGGATCAAGCCCCAAAGTTTATTGATTAGCATGATCGATCCAAACCTTGATCATTGCTCAGTGTTACTGGTCTGGTGGTGGCAACGAAGGCGATTCTAGAGTTTTGCTAGAAGTCTATTTCATGTCATACGGGTTGTAGAATCTTAAGTCGGTCAATCGTCTTAAGACCACATGGCGTGGGGTCGGCTCAAGTAAAAGTTTTGGGGTCCCTTGGTATAGAGTGTTAAAGTAGAAAGTCAAGGCAACCCTCACTGGCTCCAGGGAGTCATACGTGAATCCCCTCAACATAAGTGAAACTCTTGGGGGTGTTTCCAACTGTAGAACATGCATATTTCTCACTGCTAAGGAACTGTGTAATCTGCATAATCAAATGACATATATGAATTACTCACATGAGGCCAATAAACATCCTTCTGAAAATTTCAAACATTATCCACACTTTGACTCCATCCATATGTATAGTGTATAATATACATACATACACAATAATTATATTATATTATATATATATATATATATATATATATATATATATATATATATATATATATATATATATATATATATATATATATATATACATATATACATATATACATATATATACACACACACACACAGTATTAACACTTACTGCACATGCAATAAGTTATATATAAAGATGTGACAATGCTTAACAGAACTAAGCCAATTGCATACATGCCCATTGTAAAATATTCATTAACTATGCAGTATTTACAGATGTATGAGAAAATGTGTTTACTTTCATGCATGTGTAAAAATGTCTTCACACATACACACTTATTTCTATAAGTATAATGTATTACCTTTGGAGCCATCTTAACAGTGAGTGTTCCACCAAAGCTAGTGATCTTTGAAGTAACTTCTTCAATAGCACCTTCTAAAGCTCGCAACCCATCCTGCTTCTCTGTAGTTTGTGTCGTCATCACTGTTAAGAATAGAATTATACGTTATCTACCTCTACTTCCTTTTTTTATACACAAAATGTAAAGGATTCAGTTGGTTGCACAAAGTGTGCAAGGCAGATATAATGGTAGGTTCCTTTCTGATATTTACAATACTGCCCATAGCTACTTGTATGTTGTACTTTTCCCTAGTTTTAGTATACGTGAGATTGTTGTTTTACCAATTGGTAGAAATATGAAGCTATGCTCATGGCATCCTGCATTTTTTATACATTTAATAAAATTGCTTTGAAATGCCCCATCATAAGAATTTATTTTGTTTTGTGCATTTCAAATTTCAAAATCCTTTCCCTGTCAATTTTCTTACTCACTTTACAAACTTTTATATGGTGATAATATACTAATTTCTTGAATTCAAATTTGTGTATATCCAGCACCCTTAATCTTTCCTTACAGCTCATACAGGTACTTGCTCTCAACACTGTATAGGCTCATACCCAGTCATTTCTTCAAGACTTTTATAGGAATACTATATTTCTGAACTTGTATGATGCAAATTGTCAAGATGAAGGAAGGGTTAAGGGGAAAGATGAAGCGACAAATACGCAGGTCTCCCATCTGCTTCCTCAGACCTCCAGTAAACTGATGCCATCTTGGAAAAAAAATCATGGCCACATCAGCATGGGACCCGACAGCTGAGTGGACAGCGCTCGGGATTCGTGGTCCTGAGGTTTCGGGTTTGATCCCCAGTGGAGGCGGAAACAAATGAGCAGTTTCTTTCACCCCTGATGCACCTGTTCACCTAGCAGTAAATAGGTACCTGGGACTTAAGACAGCTGCTACGGGCTGCTTCCTGGGGGTGCGTAACAAAAAGGAGGCATGGCCGAGGACCGGGTCGTGGGGACACTAAGCCCCGAAATCATCTCAAGACAGCCTCTCAAGATTACGTCTCCTGGATGAGGGGCTCAGTACCGAGAGAACATTTTGGTCTGTATTAATGTCCATAACCTCTTCCCTAACGGGCTGTGGACCATACTCTCGGTAATTAAAAAAAAATGCAAGGGATGGTGGCAGCCATTCTAGAGTAATGAAACCTTGCATATATTACTCCTTGGTATAATATCCTGACTAATTCCTGTGTGGTGCCTCAACCACCCACTCCTGTAGGTGTGGCTGTGGACTTAACGGTTCTGTGTGTGTACATTGGTAAGAATTTTGTCACAAATGTGACAGGTGGTAATGTTCCATTAAATCACAAAACATTACAATAGTGGCTTTACATTCACATGCCATTTTAAAAATAATACTAGTAATATAAATTATGTAAAAGCATGGGATCTGATTAAGTTGAAGCTGATGTTGCTGAATTGATTGGTGTTAAGTGGAGCCCATATCAAACTGACCAGCTTAAAGTTACAATTCCTATGCATCACTAGAGGCAACACCAATTACTGAATATTACTAGCTAACAAGTAATAAGCCATTTTATTGCGAGGTACATCAATTTTACTGGATGTCAAAATATACTCAAAAATATGGTAAAACAATATATGCAGTCACAACATATTGGGGAAAGACTTACCATACAGTGGAGGAGCAATGAGGTTTATTCTTATGGGGATTTCCTCTGTTGACTGTGCAATGCCTCCACGTAATGCACTCTTAACAGCATCAATTCCTTCATACTCAAAGCATGAAACTTCAATGTCTGCACGAATTTTGACCGCTTGTGACTGAAGTTTTCGTTGAATTTGTGATAGGAGAACATTCCTGGTTTCTTCATCCAAATTACATTCCTCTAAAATTGTGGGATCTCTGGAAGGAAAAGCATACGTGTAAATAAATGCAATTTTTTTTAGTTTTTCAATTTCTACATGTGCACAAACAAAAGCTTCCTGGGAATGTATTTTAACCATGGCAATACCTAGTTTTATACACTACAACCTCAATTTGGTAAACCTCATTTTGGCAAATCTTTGGTTGCAATGCATACTTTCCAGGACAGATTTACTCGCACAAGTGTTATAGGAAGAGTGCTCAAAAGTCGGCAGAGCAGAGGTTGTGCCGATTTGCTCAAGATATTACGATACAAATGGTAACTCTTAATTTGGCTCCAATTACATTTTTAACTATAATCATAACAAATTATAACGTTAGAAGAAAGAGTTAGATCCCTGGTAAAGCCAGTGAGCATATTTAAAACCAAATTCTATTATGTATTTGTTTTCACTGAGTTGGCAGCAACTCCTGCCCCACATCTGGCCAGGATCAAACTACACAAGACAATTTCGCCAAGAGCACTCACAAATATTGTTGTCATTGTGAAATTTCCTCACTTCACCATGACCAGGCAATTTTTTTCCTGTAATCATGGAAAACATTTTAACAATGTTAGGAGATTTTCCTCTTACCTTTTCCCCCTCCCTCCTCCACTCCCCTCTCTCTCGCACCACTCCACCTTCCCTCCCCTCTCTCTCACTCCTCCCCCTCCCTAACTCCCTCCCCCTCTCACTCCTCCCCCTCCCTAACTCCCTCCCCCTCTCCCTCCTCCCCCTCCCTAACTCACTCCCACTCTCCCTCCTCCCCCTCCCTAACTCTCTCCCTCCTCCTCCTCCTAACTCACTCCCTCCTCCCTCCTCCTCCTCCCTAACTCACTCCCACTCTCCCTCCTCCTCCTCCCTAACTCACTCCCACTCTCCCTCCTCCTCCTCCCTAACTCACTCCCACTCTCCCTCCTCCCCTCCCTAACTCACTCCCACTCTCCCTCCTCCCCCTCCCTAACTCACTCCCACTCTCCCTCCTCCTCCTCCTCCTCCTCCCTAACTCACTCCCACTCTCCCTCCTCCTCCTCCCTAACTCACTCCCACTCTCCCTCCTCCCCCTCCCTAACTCCCTCCCCTCCTCCCTCCCTCCCTCTCCCCCTCCTCCCCCTCCCCCCCTCCCTCCCTCTCTCACTCACTCCTCCTCCCTCCCTCCCTCCCTCCCTCCCTCCCTCCCTCCTCCCTCTCTCACTCCCTCCCTCCCTCTCTCCTCCTCCCCCTCCCTCCCTCCTCACCCTCCCCCCTCCCCTCTCCTCCTCCCCCTCCCTCTCCTCCCCCTCCTCCCTCCTCCTCCCCCTCCCTCCCCCCTCCCTCTCACTCCTCCCCCTCCCTCCCTCCCCCTCCCTCACTCCTCCCCCTCCCCCTCCCTCCCTCCCTCCCTCTCTCACTCCTCCTCCCTCCCTCCTCCCTCCCTCCCTCCCTCCCTCCTCCCTCCCTCCCTCTCTCACTCCTCCCCCTCCCTCCCTCCCTCCCTCACTCCTCCTCCCCTCCCTCCCTCACTCCCTCCCTCCCTCCCTCTCTCCTCCTCCCCTCCTCCCTCCCTCTCTCTCTCACTCCTCCCCCTCCCTCCCTCCCTCCTCCCCCTCCCCCTCCCTCCCTCCCTCCCTCTCTCACTCCTCCCCCTCCCTCTCTCCCCTCCCTCTCTCCCTCCTCCTCCCCCCCTCCCTCCCTCTCACTCCCTCCCTCCCTCCCCTCTCTCACTCCTCCCCCCCCTCCCTCCCTCCCTCTCTCACTCCTCCCCCTCCCTCCCTCCCCCTCCCTCCCTCCTCCCTCCCCTCCCTCTCCCCCCCTCCCTCCTTCCCTCTCTCCCTCCCCCTCCTCCCTCCCCTCCTCCCCTCCCCCTCCCTCCCCTCACTCCCTCCCTCTCTCTCCCTCCTCCCCCTCCCTCCCTCTCTCACTCCTCCCCCTCCCCTCTCACTCCTCCCCCTCCCTCCCTCCCTCCCTCCCTCTCTCCCCCTCCTCCCCTCCCTCCTCCTCACCCTCCCTCCCTCCCTCCCTCTCTCACTCCTCCCCCCTCCCCTCCCTCTCTCACTCCTCCCCCTCCCTCCCTCCCTCCTCACCCTCCCCTCCCCTCCCCCCTCCCTCCCTCCCTCCCCCTCCTCCCCCTCCCTCCCTCCCTCTCTCCCTCCTCCCTCCCCCTCCCTCCCTCCCTCTCCCTCCTCCTCCCTCCCTCCCTCCCTCTCTCACTCCTCCCCCTCCCTCCCTCCTCTCTCCTCCTCCCCTCCCCTCACCCTCCCTCCCTCCTCCCCCTCCCTCCCTCTCTCCCTCCTCCCCCTCCCTCCCTCCCTCCCCTCTCACTCCTACTCCTCCCCCCTCCCCCTCCTCCCTCCTCACTCCTCCCCCTCCATCCCCCCCTCTCCTCCTCTCCCTCCTCCCCTCTCCCTCCCTCCCTCCCTCCCTCCTCCCTCCTCCCCCTCCCTCCCTCCCTCCCTCACTCCTCCCCCTCCCTCCCTCCCCTCCCTCCCCTCCCTCCCTCCCTCCCTCTCTCCCTCCCTCCCTCCCTCCCTCCCTCCCTCCTCCCTCCCTCCCTCACTCTCCTCCTCCCCCCCTCCCTCCCTCCCTCTCTCACTCCTCCCCCTCCCTCCCTCCCTCCCTCTCTCACTCCTCCCCCCCTCTCCCTCCCCCTCCCTCCCCCTCCCTCCCTCCCTCTCCTCACTCCTCCTCCTCCCTCCCTCCCTCCCCTCCCTCCTCCCTCTCTCACTCCTCCCCCTCCCCCCTCCCTCCCTCTCCCTCCTCCCCTCCCTCTCTCTCACACTCCTCCCCCTCCCTCCCTCCCTCTCTCCCTCCCCTCCCTCTCTCTCTCACTCCTCCCCCTCCTCCCCCTCCTCACTCCTCCCCCTCCCTCCCCCTCTCCTCTCCTCTCCCCTCCCCCTCCCTCTCTCTCTCTCCTCCTCCCCCTCTCTCCTCCCCTCCCTCCCTCTCTCACTCCTCCCCCCCCCCCTCCCTCCTCCCTCTCCCTCCTCCCCTCCCTCCCTCCCTCCCTCTCTCACTCCTCCCCTCCCTCCCTCCCTCTCTCCTCCTCCCCCTCCTCCCTCCCTCCCTCCCCCCCCCCCCTCCTCCTCCTCCCCTCTCCCTCCCTCCCCCTCCCTCCCTCCCTCTCTCCCTCCTCCCCCTCCCTCTCTCCACTCCTCTCCTCCCCCTCCCCCTCCTCTCTCACTCCTCCCCCTCCACTCTCCTCTCTCCCTCCCTCCCCCTCCTCTCCCTCTCTCCCTCCTCCCCCCTCCCTCCCTCCCTCTCTCACTCCTCCCCCCCTCTCCCCTCACTCCCCCTCCCTCCCTCCCTCTCTCTCCCTCCCTCTCTCCTCCTCCCCCTCCCTCCCCCTCCCTCTCCTCCCCTCCCTCCCCCTCTCTCACTCCTCCCCCCCCTCCCTCCCTCCTCTCTCCTCCCTCCTCCCTCCCTCTCTCCCTCCCCCTCCCTCTCTCCCTCCCTCCCTCCTCCTCACTCCTCCCCCTCCCTCCCTCCCTCTCTCACTCCTCCCCCTCCCTCCCTCCCTCTCTCCCTCCTCCCCCTCCCTCCCTCTCTCACTCCCCCCCTCCCTCCCTCCCTCCTCCCCCTCCCTCCCTCCCTCCCTCCCTCTCTCCCTCTCTCCTCCCTCCCTCCCTCCCTCCCTCTCTCACTCCTCCCCCTCCCTCCCTCCCTCCCTCTCTCTCCCTCCTCCCCCTCCCTCCCCTCTCTCACTCCTCCCCCTCCCTCCCTCCCTCACTCACTCCCCCTCCTCCTCTCCTCCCTCCCTCCCTCCCTCCCTCCCTCTCACTCCCCCCCTCCCTCCCTCCCCCCTCTCACACTCCTCCCTCTCCCTCCCTCCCTCACTCCCCCCCTCCCTCCCTCTCTCCCTCCTCCTCTCCCTCTCTCCTCCTCCCCCTCCCTCCCTCTCTCACTCCTCCCCCTCCCTCCCCTCTCTCACTCCTCCCCCTCCCTCCCTCCCTCCCCCCTCTCTCCCTCCCTCCCCCTCCCTCCCTCCCTCCCTCCTCCCTCCCCCTCCCTCCCTCCCTCCCTCCTCCCTCCCCCCTCCCTCCCTCCTCCCCCTCCCTCCTCCCTCTCCTCCCTCCTCCCCCTCCCTCCCTCTCCTCCTCCCTCCCTCCCTCCCTCCTCCTCCCCCTCCCTCCCCTCTCCTCCCTCCTCCTCCTCCTCCCCCTCCCTCCCTCTCCTCCCCCCCCTCCCTCCCTCTCTCACTCCTCCTCCTCCCCCTCCCCCTCCCTCTCTCCTCCTCCCTCTCTCACTCACTCCTCCCCCTCCCTCCCTCCCTCCTCCCCTCCCTCCCTCCCTCCCTCTCCCTCCCCCCTCCTCCCTCCCTCCTCCTCCCTCCCTCCCCCTCCCTCTCTCACTCTCTCCCCCCTCCCTCCCCTCCCTCCTCTCACACTCCCTCCCCCTCACTCCTCCCCCTCCCTCCCTCCCACTCACTCCTCCCCCTCCCTCCCTCTCCCTCCCCCCTCCCCTCCCTCCCTCCCCCTCCCTCTCTCCCTCCCCCTCCCTCCCCCTCCCTCCTCTCTCCTCCTCCCCCTCCCTCCCTCTCTCACTCCTCCCTCCTCCCTCCCTCCCTCCCTCCTCCTCCCTCCCTCCCTCCCTCTCTCACTCCTCCCCCTCCTCCCTCCCTCCCTCTCTCACTCCTCCCCCTCCCTCCCTCCCTCCTCTCTCCCTCCTCTCCCCCTCCTCCCTCCCTCCTCCCCCTCCTCCCTCCCTCTCTCACTCCTCCCCCTCCCTCCCTCCCTCTCTCACTCCTCCTCCCTCCCTCCTCACTCCTCCCTCTCCCTCCTCCCCCTCCACACTCCTCCCTCCCTCCCTCTCTCTCACCCTCCTCCCTCCTCCCTCCCCTCCCCCTCCCTCTCTCTCTCACTCCTCCCCCTCCTCTCTCCTCCTCCCCCTCCCTCCTCCCTCCCTCCCTCCTCCCCCTCCCTCACTCCTCCTCCCTCCCTCCTCCTCCCTCCCTCCCTCTCTCACTCCTCCCCCTCCCTCCTCCCTCTCCCTCCCCTCCCTCCCTCTCCTCCCTCCCCCTCTCCTCCTCCTCCTCCCTCCCTCTCCCTCCCTCCCTCTCCTCTCTCCTCCCTCCCTCCCTCCCTCTCTCCTCCCCTCCCCCTCCCTCCTCCCCTCCCTCCTCCCTCCCTCCCTCCCCCTCCCTCCCTCTCTCACTCCTCCCCCTCCCTCTCTCACCCTCCCCCTCCCTCCCTCTCTCACTCCTCCCCCTCCCTCCCTCTCCCTCACTCCTCCCCTCCCTCCCTCCTCACTCCCTCCCTCCTCCACTCTCTCTCCCTCCCCTCCCTCCTCTCTCCCTCCCCCTCTCCCTCCCCCTCCCTCCCTCCTCCCTCACTCCTCCCCCTCCCTCCCTCCCTCCTCACTCCTCCTCCCTCCCTCCCCCTCTCACTCCTCCCCCTCCCCTCCTCTATCACTCCTCCTCCCTCCCTCCCCCCCCTCACTCCTCCCCCTCCCTCCCTCTCTCACTCCTCCCCCTCCCTCCCTCTCTCCCCCTCCCCCTCCCTCCCTCTCCCTCCTCCCCCCTCCCTCCCTCTCTCTCTCCTCCTCCCCCCCCTCCTCACTCCTCCCCCCCCTCCCCTCCCCCCTCTCACTCCTCCCCCCTCCCTCCCTCTCTCACTCCCTCCCCCTCCACTCCCTCTCTCACTCCTCCTCCCCCCTCCACTCCCTCTCTCTCCCCCCTCCCTCCCTCCCTCTCTCACTCCTCCCCCCTCCCTCCCCCCCCCCCTCCCTCTCTCTCCTCCTCCCTCCCTCTCTCACTCCTCCCTCTCCCCTCCCCCTCCTCCTCCCTCCCTCCCTCTCTCACTCCTCCCCCTCCCTCCCTCTCTCACTCCTCCCCCTCCCTCCCTCTCTCACTCCTCCCCCTCCCTCCCTCTCTCACTCCTCCCCCCTCCCTCTCACTCCTCCCCCCTCCCTCTCTCACTCCTCCCCCCTCCCTCTCTCACTCCTCCCCCTCTTAATTGTAATAATTTGTTGGGAGGGGGCGAGGTGTGAGGTGTTGTGGAAGTGAAATCACTTGAATGAGTGATGAGCCTTGCTCTATGTCCTCATTGACCCATACATTCATACACAGTTGGTACAGGAGCGTTTACACAGGCTGGGTGGTGTGGCAGAGGGGACTCACTCGTCTGATGAAATACAAACGGATGTACACTACTTATATTATTTGTTCATTAATTTATTTACTAGTACAGTGATTTTTTAAGCATTCTAATCTGTTACATCACCCACTGGTATGCGATAAACACTCATACATATTGAGTTGGGAAAGGGAGGGACTCAGGACTGTACTAGCTGGACTCTTGCCTGTTCATTCAACCGTGCAGTGTGTGTGTCTATCCTGGTTTGGTTTGGTGGAATGGAGCAGTAATTGCAAAGTACTCGTCCAGAATTATAGTCCTTCAGTGATCAAAACACCAAGCTATGCTCAAATCTCTTATTGTAATAACATTTTATTACATAAATACAAAATTTGAAGATTTTATGTGGAAATTCAGATATTAATGCAGTTCATACTGTGGTTATCCCAACATGATCTGGATTAACAAGCAGAGTAATTATGCAATGGTCAACATAAATTTGACCTGCTGAGATTTATGGCAAATAAATATTAAATATACAGTGGCACCTCGATTTACGATTACCCCGACTTACGATAATTTCAAGTTACGATGTAAACTTGATTGAAAAATGCAACTTGACTTACGATAGTGTCGTCGACTAACGCTATTTGTTAGTCAATTACTAGAGCCGCCCGCTTACTGATGATCACGCCTATAAGAAATTCTGTTTTTGTGGTGATTTTTTGCTTTTTGAACAAAAACTGAGTATTATATACTGTATCACGCCATTGGTCCCAAGAAAGTCAGTGGTAAGGTTCAACATATGAAAACCCATGTAAGGATGACAATAGAGCAAAAACGAGAGATCATTCGTAAATATGAAGATGGTGTGCGGGTTGTTAAACTAGCTAGGCAGTACAACAAATCTCAACGTCAACGATGTCCACCATTCTTGCTAAAAAGGACATTATTAGTGCTAGAGTGGCAAAAGGCGTATCAATAATCACGAAACATAGAACACAAACACTTGATGTTGAACAGCTATTATTAATTTGGATACACAGCAAGGCATTAGTAGGTGATAGAGTTTCAGAGGCCATCATTTGTGAAAAGGCAAGGAAATTGCATGAAGATCTTATAGAGAAAACCCCTGGAACGAGTGATGCAGAAGTGAGTGTTAAGGCGAGCAGGGGATGGTTTGAGAAATTTAGAAAAAGAAGTGGCATTCACAGTGTTGTGAGGCATGGGGAGGCTGCCAGCTCAGACAAACCAGCAGTTGAAAGATTTATTGGCGAATTTAAAGATATTGTGCAGTGAGGCATACCTACCACAACAAGTGTTTAATTGTGACGAGACAGGGCTATTCTGGAAAAGATTGCCAAAGAAAACATACATTACCAAGGAGAAGTCATTGCCTGGGCACAAGCCTATGTTTACTCTTGTGCTGTGTTGTAATGCGAGTGGCGATTTGAAAATTAAACCCTTGCTAGTGTATCATTCCAAAAATCCAAGTGGTTTTCAAGAAATATAACGTGCAGAAACACAAAATGTGTGTGATGTGGAGAGCTAATGCTAAAGGTATGGGTGACTAGGCAATTTTTTACAGAGTTGGTGAATGAGGTGGTGTGCCCTGCCATCAAAAAGTATCTGCAGGAGAACAGTTTGTCACTCAAGGCCCTGCTTCTCCTCAACAATGCTCCTGCCCATCCTCCAGGCTTAGAGGATTCATTGATGGAGGAATTTAGGTTTGTTACAATAAAGTTCCTTCCTCCCAACACCACTCCTCTACTTCAGCCTATGGACCAGAAAATCATTGCCAATTTTAAGTAACTTTATGAAAGAGCACTTTTTCGGAGATCTGTCGAAGTGACGGATGCCATAAACCTCGCCCTCAAAGAGGTCTGGAAAAAAACATTTAATCATTTATAGTGCTTTAAAACTCGTAGACAAAGCCTGGCAAGAAGTGACTAAGAACCATGATTTCTGGCTGGAGAAAATTGTGGCCTGAATGCGTTGCAGAACGAGACTGAGGGGTTTGAGCCTGAACCTGAAGTGCTTCTTGTTGAGGAAATTGTTTCTCTGGGCCAGCAATTGGGCTTAGAGTTGGAGGAGGAACACAGCGAAGAACTGACCACCGAAGAACTCCTAGCCCTTCACAAGGAGCAGCAACAAGAGGTAGCTGAGGAAATTTCTTCAGGGGAGGAGGAGGCAGTACAGAATATCCCTTCCTCAAATATTAAGAAAGTGTGTACAGCATGGGAAGAACTGCAAACTTTTGCTGAAACGACTCACCCAAATCAAGCTGCAGTAGGCCGTTGCCTTAACCTTTTCAATGACACTGTGATGCATCACTACAGGCAAATGTTAAAACGAAGGGAAAAACAAGTGTCGCTAGACAAATTTTTAGTGAGAAACAAGCAGTGAGCCACAACCAGGTCCTAGTGGTATGTAGGCAAAACATAGGAGAGAGAGTACCCCAAAGAAATCATCACTGCCTGATGTGATAATGGAAGGGGACTCCCCTTCCAAACAGTAACACCTCTCCTCCTTTCCCCTCATCATCATCTTCCATACGCCATAAAGGTAAACATATCTGACAAAATCTGAAAGTTGAGGCAGTACATCAAATTACAACTTATTGTACACCTAAATATAAGTCTTGGAGATTAAAACAAAAATATCTTATGGAGCTTCAATAGGAAATCCCTTGAAATAAAGACAAGTACATTACAGTACTAGACAAATTTTTACCACCCATAATAGAAGCAAAAAAAAACACTTACATAACTGCCTGCTTGAAGACATCATAGGCACAGGCCTGCTTCTTATATTTTCCTTCGAAGTGCCAGGCTGTTGTGCGATAAAGCTCTTCAACTTGTTCTTCAGTTGTATATCCAAGGAGTTCTCCTACATGTCGGATGATGGAATTAACTGCTTTCGCTTTTGCAAATTTCTCTGTACACCTTTCCACATCTTCTTTAGAAACTCTTCTTTTGGAAAGATCAATATAACCTGAAGTAAACAAGATTGACAAATATTTATAAAACCAGAGCTTTATCTTGAATACATGTATATCTAACCTCAAGGTAGGCTGTGAATTATAAAATTAAAAACAGGTAACAAGCCATATACTGTATCATAGATAAACAATACAACTCCACATCCCTTACTTCCTGTGTAACTTAAATTGCACAAACTGTTTAGACTGAAGTTTTGTTAAATATAATGTGTATACAGTAATGTATACATTCTCTCTCACTATGAGAGAGAATGTATGTATTGCCATAATTCTACCCACAGCCTAGCATATGACCGAACCTTATCAAGTTGTTCTCACTACTACCTTTTTATATTAGTTTATGGTTCTGGTCATCATCATTAACTTATGGTAGGGTCAGCATGAACAAAATTTTGATGTTACAGGAGATTTCTATGTCATAAAGACAGGAGGCCAAGCTATTTTTTGTACCCACAGGTTGATGATTTTGGAAGCTTTGAGAATCATGCTATATGTTGTTGTCTTGATAATGGCACAAAACACTGACAGCCAATCAGTGAGAGAGCCATTCAAGACATGCAAGGAGGGGCTTGTCAAGGTCTGAAGGCCTTTGAGAGAGTATCTATCCTTCTGCACTCCACATCCACTGGTCTTATTTTACTTTTTTAATGGTGTTTCAGTAGGACTGACAAGAGAACAAATATTTTGTCCAGTAGCACGTGGCAGCCCAGGAGCGGATCATGAGACGTTTCACTGAAGAGGTGCAATGCAAGATGAGTGCGAAGGCAGCTTTGGCAACCATGGGTTCTAGACTGCCTGAAGAGGTCTAATTCATTTGAGGCACGAACACTGAGGTTTTCAAACTGCGCACGCCAAGGACACATGAAGTGGTTTATTTTGTCCGAGAAAGGATACAATGTTTTCAAGCGTTTGCTGGTGAAGGTCCCAAGTTTCAGGTGAGGTCTCTGGTTGGTATCATGACCTAATTCAAGTAGAAGACCCCAGGTCAGTGATGTTTGTGGCAAAGTGTAGGAGTAAACCTCAGGTAGCCTACCTGTTGGGGGGGATGAGGTACCCATTCTTAACACTTTAGTGCGCGCGGCACTCGTTAAAAAAAAAAAGCGCCTTGTGCGCGCGGCATTCTGGGCGCTCAAGCGTAAACACAAAAAAGTGTATAATCTTTTCACGCTCCTAACATCAATTCTCGAGCTACATTTTTCATTTTGGTATCAATGCGTTGGCAATAAAATTCTCTACAAGATCAGATGCATAAAATGCCACCAAAGCATTTGCTATCCCACCACGAAGTAAATAAACACGAAGATGACTCGCCGTGACACCCAAACAGGAAGTAAATGTTCATACTCTTTCGTTTGTTGCCAGCCTCACAGTCATCCTACAGTACTTATTTTGATATCACTGAACTCGCAATAAAATTCCCCACCCAGACATATGCCTATCAATGTCTAATTATGTTCCGCACGAGTGTGGGAACTGGGCGAAGCGTTAGCCGTGATTTCAGCAGCGACGACACTGTTGTGATGCAGCGCTTTGGAAGTTTATACTTATTTCACTGTCCTGACATTATTTCTCGAGCTACGTATTTCATTTTTATAGCAATGTGTTCGCAATAGAAAGTTTTATATATAACAATAGAAAGTTCTATAAGAACATGGGTAGAATTGGCCAACAGAGCGTCAAATAAATTTGCGGCGAATAAAATCTTACGCGTGTTTGTACCCGTGAGCGTAAAAAGTTTTTACTTTGCTCATGTTTTTTCAAGTTTATACTTGTTTCACACCGTTTTTTTTGTTTGTATAGTGTTCGGAATAAAATTCTCTACACAGACATATGCATATAAATGTAGAATCATGATCGCGGCCAACAAGAGTGTGTGGAGTGGGCGATTACCCTCGTTGTGTCACCAACTCAATAGTCTCTTCTCTAAGTTACAATACATTGCCGTTTTCTCAAATAGGCACTGTGCCTATTAGAGAAAACAAAAATTTAATGGCAAACATATTCATACAAACCCCAAGTCGATCGAGTAGTAAATACCCACTATAACACGGTCCATAAATTTACATTGATCCGACAAGCAGTTAAGCAAAACGCCCGTAATTCCAAGTGGAAAATCCAGGAAAGTGTTAAGATATGGGCACCACACAACAGCTGCATATTCTAGCTTTGGCCTAACAAAAGTCATGAACAATTTCTTCAGTATATCACCATCCATGTATTTAAATGCAATTCTGAAGTTAGAAAGCATAGCATAGGCTCCTTGCACAATATTCTTTATGTGGTCCTCAGGTGATAGTTTTCTATCTACAACCACCCCTAGATCTCTTTCTTTATCAGAATTCTTTAAAGATTTCTCACATAGTATATAGGTTGTGTGGGGTCTATGTTCTCCTATTCCACATTCCATAACATGACATTTATTAACATTAAATTCCATTTGCCAAGTGGTGCTCCATATACTTATTTTGTCCAGGTCTTCTTGAAGGGCATGACAATCATCTAAATTTCTTATCCTTCCTATTATCTTAGCATCATCAGCAAACATGTTCATATAATTCTGTATACCAACTGGTAGATCATTTATGTACACAATAAACATCACTGGTGCAAGAACTGAACCCTGTGGTACTCCACTTGTGACATTTCTCCATTCCGATACATTGCCTCTGATTACTGCTCTCATTTTTCTATCAGAAAATTTTTCATCCATGTTATAAGCTTACCTGTCACCCCTCCAATATTTTCCAGTTTCCAGAACAACTTCTTATGTGGAACTCTGTCGAAAGCCTTTTTTAGGTCCAGATAGATGCAGTCAACCCAACCATCTCTTTCCTGTAATATCTCTGTGGCTCGATCATAGAAACTGAGTAAATTCGATACACAGGATCTTCCAGATCAAAAACCATACTGTCTGTCTGATATTATATCATTTCTCTCCAGGTGTTCTACCCATTTAGTTTTGATTAGTTTTTCCAATACTTTCACTATTACACTTGTCAATGATACAGGTCTATAATTGAGGGGTTCTTCCCTGCTGCCACTTTTGTAGATTGGAACTATGTTAGCCTGTTTCCACGCGTCTGCTACGATTCCTGTACACAGGGATGCCTGAAAGATCAGGTGAAGTGGAATGCTGAGCTCAGATGCACATTCTCTCAGAACCCATGGTGAAACGCCATCTAAGCCAGCTGCTTTGTTCTTACTGAGCTCCTTTAGCATATTTTCCACTTCATCTCTAGACACCTCTATCCACTCTATGTTGTTCTCAGGAATTCTTATTGTGTCTGGTTCTCTGAAGATTTCATTTTGTACAAACACACTTTGGAACTTTTCATTTAATGTTTCACACATTTCCTTTTCGTTTTCCGTGAATCTCTTTCCCATTTTCAACCTCTGGATATTATCCTTTACCTGCAATTTGTTGTTTATGAATTTGTAGAATAGGCCCGGTTCTTTTTTACATTTATCCGCTATCCCTTTTTCAAAATTTCTTTCTGCCTCTCTCCTTACTGCCATATAGTTGTTTGTCGCATCTTTGTTTCGCTGGTATGTTTGGGGGGTTTGGCCTCTTCCTATACCGATTCCATTTTTGTGTCTTTTGGTCTCTTGCCCTCTCACAATTTCTGTCGAACCAATCCTGTTTTCTGGCCCTGCATCTCTGTTTTGGTATGAATGTTTGTGTGCCTTCCTCGTATATTTTTTAAAATTTGGCATACATTTCATTTACTTCCCTGCCTAGCAACAATTCTGTCCAATTACACTCATTAAAAAAATTACGAAGTTCCCTATAGTGTCCTCTCCTTAAATCGAGTTTATCAACTGTTTCAATGTCCCCATTTTCTTCTAGATGATATCTTAAAGCATAATCAATGTCTAACAGGACGTGACCACTCTTTCCCAAGGGAGGAAGGTATTGGATGTCAAATATCTCTTCTTCTTTCCTGGTGAATACTAGATCCAATACTGACGGTACATCTCCTTCCCTCATTCTTGTGGCCTGCTTTATGTGTTGATACAAGAATGTCTCCAGAATGAGGTTCACAAATCTGCATGTCCAAAAGTCCTCCGTTCTTGCTTCATAGGCCTCCCAGTCTATTGCTTTAAAGTTGAAGTCCCCCAGTATCAACAGTCGTGATTTATCTTTATCTGCTTGTACAATAATATCTCTCATGACCATTATGAGGCCCTCTCGTTTGTCACCTGTCATCCAGTGTGTGTGTGTGTGTGTAACAACAGCTGGTTGGTAAACCTTCTGGAGTTGCACACATCAGTGACAAGGACTATGACTAACTGATGGGAACTGTAGTGTCAATAATAAATGGTGCCAAATTTACTGCAGAACTAATGAGAGTGGTTAAAGGCAACATATAATATTGGCCTAGTAGCAGTAACAGTTTTACTGGCCAAGTTGTCTGTAGAACCACAGATACCGTAGTGGGTCAAAGCAGTAGAGTACTGGCCTAATGACAGTAACAGCATATTAGCAGAGCCAATGCTGATGGTTCTGGCAGTATGAAGTAATAGCAAGAGTAATGAGAGTGAATTACAGTGCCATAGTGGCAGTAGAACCTTTGAGGGCAGTTCATGGTGTCCAGAGGCTAGACATGGTTAGAGGGACAGTGAAATACAGTGCCAGGTGGTTGAAGTCGCAGTGCATTTGCCTAAAGAATTTCCATAGTTCAGGCATCTGAACAATGTGTGTTGCTATGAATTAATTATACTCTGTTGGCAGGTGGAGGCCTGTGAGAAAACAGGAATTGGGAGTGTGGACGACTGTACCCTACAGGATGCTACAGGAACAGACATACATCCGTGACCACTGATGGAGTACGAACAGTCCCAAGACCCAGCAAAACTACAGCAAGAGGTTGCCAGTTGTAATAATTGTATAAATTATAAAAACATCGATTCGAGGCACTTTAAATAAGTGTGGTCGTTTCTTGTGTGTTAGAGCTATATTAACTTTTAGGGGAATGAGGACACGAATGAGGGA